ATCAATGGATATTAGTGTAGGCTGGCAGAATTTCTTCTCTTAAGCAAATTTTGTTATAGATATGTCAACCCAAATTTTGTTACTCTATGCGTCTTTAACTTGAAAATGAATGTTGTACATTCGAAACGTCGTTCAATATTAAAAATGTCTATCGGTAATTTAATTTTCAATCTTCCAACACCTACGAAGAATCCATCAATGGATGTATACGCGTGATGTGAACACATCCATCAATGGATAAATACGCGTGAAATGCACACATCCATTAATGGATAAATACGCGTGATGTGCACACATCCATCAATGGATGTGTACGCGTGATGTGCACACATCCATCAATGGGTGTATACGCGTGATGTGCACACATCCATCAATGGATGTGTACCCGTGATGTGCACACATCCATCAATGGATATATTCGCGTGATGTGCACACATCCATCAATGGATGTCTACACGTGATGTGCACACATCCAGCAAGCCTCTTAATTGTAAGATGCCTAGCTTGGGTGAATATACAGTATATGCCTGATTTGAGTCAAACATCTCGCTTACTTCATTACTACAAACAAATGTTCAATTTTAATTATACTGAAGGCAAACTTCTTCTTACAGCACAATATTGAGTTTAGCTTTTTGTAATAATTATTATTAAAGTAAAATTGTGTTTAAAGTTGTGCTCGTTACTTATATACCTAATGACGAATTGAGTGCAGACTTTCAGACGTTTCTCGACTGAAAGTAGCTTCAAAAAAGTACTTTCAAAAGTAGCTTCTGTTATTTATCAATTGCGTTCGTCTGGAAATTCCGAAGACATAAACAGATAAAACATTTTACCGCATCCTACGACCATTAGTTCGTAATGTTTTCTAAGTTTTTTTTAACAAATCATCATCAGGATGCAGCATCGATGAACTCTGGTGTTTTAATTACGTGAGAGTCTTGATCAGCACTTCAGGCTTGACTCTTGAACGTGCAGATTAGATAACAGTTCCTATATCAGAGATCTCTCAATAGAGAGAGAAAAGTGGGATGCTTTCGGAGAATTCAGATCCTCAAGAATTGAAGAGCACACATTTATAGATAAAGACTCTCAGCAAAGGATCCCATTAATTGTACATTATACATCAATGTTGACTGTTGAGGCTTCCTGATTGCAATTTTTCCGACCTTTAATTTTCTATATGATGTGTTCTCTAATATGAGTATGAATATTGTCTCACCCGACTCTGAATTGTTAATACACCCGACTGAATTGTATATGCTTGCACCTGACCAACCTAAGATTCGGCACTTTTGTACAATCCGCTCAATATTGTTTCTGTACAATATAATGTCCAGTTCTTTCTATGATCGGATTAGAGCTTCGTAAAGTGCATTGGTAGTGTTTGCCATATCTTCATTTGGTCTATACACTCGCCTTACGACTGAGGTCTACTGTTAAATCTGAAACAATGTCAGGAGGGGAACCAAGATCGATTTCGTATATGTGTTTCTCTTCCATGCTGTCCTAAAAGTTTGTGTGATCTAAAATAAACATAGCTCATTGTATCGTTTCATCTTTTAACTTCGGGCAAGCGAATCCACGGTTTCTTCATATTATTTAATGTGGCGGTTTAACGGCGTAACATTAAGGGTACAGATGTAACACAGGCGGTATTCCAAAAATACGGAGATTAAAGATAATACAATAATATATTCGAGTATTGTATAGTCTTTCGATTCGATTTCGATAATTTTTTCAATTATTATAAATAAATTTTTCGATTCAATTAATAATATTTAGATTACGCAATAATCGAATAGAATATTGTATTATCTATTCTAGTTCTAAATAGATGATCATTAAAATCTTGCTTAAAAGCTGTCACGATTGATCGTGGAAGTTGAAGCTTAGTAAATAGTTGAGAGCAATTTTCTCTTAGTGCAACCTTCGGGTTGGTAATATCACAATTTATATTGTTGTATGAGCTGAGACTAGTTCCCAGATGTTCTATACGTCACTGAGCTCACCTCTTCATACAACATATGTTAGCTTCATTAATTCGAACTTCTTCTAGGGTTTATTCGAGTCGCACCCAGGCATTCCTCTCCTAAGTTATTATCATCAGAATTGTGTCTAACTGACGTGCATACAGATGAAGTCCACGGCTCGATGGAGGTCTGTACAACGAATGCAATACAGCAGGGAACTCTTCGCTCGTGTCCGCTGATTGCCAAACAGAAGGGTTTTCTCTATAAAGAATTTGGAGCAAAATAACGACTGCCGCCTATCAACATATCTGTAGCTATTTAGGTACTTTGAGAGAGGATTTATAGTGAATCATTATACAGCAAATGATGCAAAATTTTATGCGCTGAATTACATCAAATTAGAAGTAAAAAATTATTATATACGACTAATGTTGTCAGTTCATTACTATTATGAATTTCGTGATAATTTGTCTCGAGAACAAATTTTATTTTTAACCAGTTAGCACAATTTTCCTCATTGGAGAAAAATTATTGGCTGTATTTTTTGGCGAATGACCAATTATTTCATAAGATACTACATTTCAATTCAAATTACTTTCACCTAACAAGTGAAATGCTTTCCAGCACTCACTTATACCTACCTCTTGCAGTTCTTCTAGCGTTGACAGCAAATGCACCTTCGTACAAGACAGCTACAGACATTCCTTGCCACCTCCATTTAGATTCTAGATGATCTAGCGGTGTTGCTTGCATAAATGTCAGTCAGCTGGTGCGCCCAAGCAGCAGTGTTGCATCAAGCTCTTTAGCAAGCTTTTTAAAGCCATTATCCATGCCTCACGATAGTCTTATCATCAAATTTAAAATTAGAGGGAACATTTTTCTAATTCTTTAGTACAGAGGGGAATGTAAAAAATTCATTATATATCAAACATCGATGCATCAATTTTGAATACATTTTCGTAAGAGGTTACATGATTATTGCGGCATATTGGATTAGAAATCAGGGTTTAAAAGTCAAGTAAGCAGACCAAAAGTTATAAGTAAATGAAATCATATTTTCACAATGAATTATGTGAATTCAGTAAAATTTTGCCTATATAAATTTTGCCATTGAATACACCCACTGGACAATCTGTTGCCAGTCTTGCAGACGTTTTTAGGAGTTCGTGCGCAAAGTTTCACTAAAATTTATTTAGTAGTTCGGAAGGTAATACTGGCGAAACCGGCCCCAAGAGTCCAAGACTGAACACGAAAATGTCAGGCGGGCCAAGTGAGAGGCTTCTCCCCGTCTTGATCTTAATTATCGTCTGGATATCGTAATATTTATATGCCGTGGAAATTATTGTTAAGTGTCAATGATTAATAATCAAATATGGCCATTAATTTTCTGTGAAAGTGTGAAATTGATGTCTAGAGTTAAAGTGTTGGCTATTTTAACTTCTAAAACGTCAAATTAAGAATAATTGTAATTGAGTTAATGAAAAGTCTTGCTCACACGTAAGAATGAAGACGTTAGGATATATTTTCATTAAATAATGATGATGTATTTCACTAAAATAAAACAAGTCAGATATGATCGACAAGTTTGATGTCAACATAAAAATAAAATGGTCAACCATCTAATTTCTTTGTTTGATATTCAGAGAAAGTTTAAGTGTATAAAGGTAAACTGAAGTAAATATTCTATTCGCTCGATCCGAATCCGATGATATGATGGTGTGGTTTACTGAATACAAATTTTGATTATTACAAAAAAAAATATATATTTCTAAGTCTCAACATAGGCAGCAGCGCTCAAAGAGTTTACAAAGACCACAGTTGCGATCTTATATATATGTTCTGTTGCGTTCTCTATAATATATTGCTTCTGTTCCACTCAAGCTTTCCACCTGCGAAACGGCTAATTATTTCTTCCCACTTAAGAAAATTGGACAATAAATAAATAACAGGAGACTTCTGACAAATTGGGGTGGATGTCACACAAGCAGGGAAGAAGTGCAGCATAATTAATACAGTTTATTTTTATGCAATGGTTAAAGGATTATTTTAAATTAACATTTGTGGCCCTAAAATTTTATGATCAGGAAAACGTTTTTAAATGTTGATTTACGTTGAACTTGAAAATATGATACGAGAAAATCGTGATTAATAAAGTATGATAATCCAAGATGCGGGGACTCTAGTCTCTTCCTGACTAACTCATTAGCCATATTAGATAACCCTGAATGAGGCTGAATCCTGATGATGAAAATACATGACGCATTGCATTACCGATCTTTAAATATTTTAATACGCTTGTAAATGATGTTAGCAAACTGTATAATAGATGTCGAGAGATGCCGTATCTTGTTAACGAGAAATTGTTACCATTGCTGCACTCATAGGGCAACATGGGGCAGCGCGCCCCCCCTTTTTTAAACTAAATTTTTGATGAAGTTTTAATTGATACGAGGTGGTTCTTTGTTTTGTTTAAAGGTACAACTAATGAGGAATGTATGATGTGAATTAGACGCCTATAGAGTTATTAAATTTTTAATGATACACTATTTTGTAAAAAGTGTCAAAATGGGCCCATTGCCCCACCCCTGGGGTAATGGGCCCATGTGCTAGGGGCAAGACGCCCACCCTTGGTCCCTTTACCCCAATTGCAAATTTTTCGTTTAAAAATGATAAAACAACACTTTACAGTTAAAAATAAGAAAATGTAATAAAAAATACGACATTCATTCATTTATTAACAACTCAAAAAATCATATCCTTAACTTGAAAAAAATATACTCTTGGCTTAAAAAAGCTATCATTGACGTGAAGAAAAATATTTCATTGACATAAAATATATATCCTTGACTTAAAAAATATATCCTTGCGATAAAAAATTCGTCCTTGACATGAAAAAATGTATCCTTGACTAGAAAAAATATATTTAGTTGATCAGAAAAAAATAACACTTAGCAAAACGTAAATCCGTACACTTCATCCCAGTGAAACTGTCGACCGGCGGTAGAGAACACGGACCAATATCTGCCATACTTAGCGAGAAACCCGCATGGGCCAATGACCCGCAGTGGGCTCGCTGCCACATGTTACCCTATTCTTTGGTATCTCAGAAATGAATGAAATACAATGCATAATTAGTAAATGAATTACTGATACATGAATTCCTTTCATGAAATGAGAAAGTTGAGTTTGCATGGCTAATTAATAATTAAAGATGAATCATTATTAATGAAACAGAAAATGATAATATGGAAATGTTAGAAAGAAAATTATATGTACCAAAAATATTCCATAGAAATAGGTTCCGTACAGTTAGCGTCTGCAGGGTATTATGCGGTCATTATTGTAAGTAATATTTGTATAAATATGTATATTTCAGTATACATATGAATAATAGTCTTGTATTTTTAATTATTTTAAAAATTGTTGCTTTGAAATCTACATTGATTTTGCAGCTTGAATGGTCAGAATAATGATTTTGTGTTTCAAATTGAAGTAAAAAATTCTTTGAAAATTTTAGGTAGTAAATCGTATGCTTTTTCTTAGAGTAAACTTAATCACGAAATAAATTAATTAAAAGGTATATTGCAAATCGACAATACGTTAATCAAACTAAAACGTATTATGTAACTGGTGATCAATGTTCAAATATTTGTTAGTAGACTCAATTAAAGCTTATTATTATCATTATTTCAATTTTGAAGCACAATGGGCACCAAATCCGCACAAATGAGTATTTTCGTATCAACATTTGTATTTTTATCACCGCAACATCGTCCTATGCTTCTCTTCACGAACGAAACTTTCTTTTCTTCTTGGAATGTATCCCAGTAATGCAATTTTTCTTTCATTATTTTCTGAATTTCCTGGTAGTCTTTCCACTTTCTTTCGTCCTGAGTGGCTTCAAGTGGTATTTCAGCAAATTTCTTCATTTGCTTGTTGATGTCATATTCTTTGAATCTTTCCCAAGCTTTTCTTACTTTAGGGTTCTTTGGGCCATGCTTCTCGTTCGGTTTGAAGCACGCTACTATTTTCTATTGGAGAAAAATAAGAAATTATATATGAGTCATGAGAGGCAACAGTTGAAGCTTCTTTCTTTTTCTACAAAAAAAAATAAAAATAAGCATAAAACGCAAAAAAATTATAAATGAAAATGAAGAAAGCCAATCGAATAAATAAAATGAATGCATTCTTGTTGCACGTTTATATTCTAAGATGATACAGTGAGACTGACCAAAAGAATATAAGTTTTTACATCATAATTAATAAATCTCCACTCAGATTCATTTAGATTTATTTAAATTCAACATTAAATTGAAACGAAAGTATCCCTCAGTTCAAACTTTACATGTTACTTTTTGCAACGCAAATAACTCATCAATTACGTTTATTAAATATCTTGATACGATTATATTGTTAGATAATAATAATCTTCAAGTCAACAACACACACGACGTTATCTACGATGGGATTTTCAAGTGAAGTCCAAATCTATGTATAGTCATCAGCAAGATCATTCGAATACATTTGAATAAAAATCGTGCATTGATAAATTCCATTTAGCTCCTGATAAGAATAAGCAATTACTTTGATTAAACTGGATGCGAACCACTTGACCATTACTTTGATAATACGGTATGCGAACCACTTGACTATTACTTTGATAATACGGTATGCGAACCACTTGTCTATTACTTTGATTATCCGATACCTATGTGAACCACGTCACCATTTGTATTGAAGATATTTTGCATGAAATAATTCACATCGATCAAAAGCTGATGGATGATATAGTTCAGACCCATCAAAGACTGATGGATGATATAGTTCAGACCCATCAAAAGCTGATGGATCATGGATGATATAGTTCAGACCCATCAAAGGCTGATGGATGATATAGTTCAGACCCATCAAATAGACCCATCAAAGACTAATGGATGATATAGTTCAGACCCATCAGAGGCTGATGGATGATATAGTTCAGACCCATCAAAGGCTGATGGATGATAGGCCTGAAATCATTGCAAACAACGCCCATATTGGTTAGTATTGTAACATATGCGTAGATTTTGTTTGCGTGAATCACCCTTCCGAAGATTACTTCGAGTTTACTTCAGGTTTTCTGTAAATAATTTATTTATTATTGGATACAAATTTAACAGAAACCTGAACCTCCGTGTAAGATGGGATAGCTTTGTACATGTTATCAGCTTAGGGCCTAATCATGGGTGGAATACCGCAATAATTAACATAAAATCTAAAATATGAATGGACTTTGAGATTTTTTATCATACAAAGCAAGGCTGTGGTAGAAAAGAGACCCTAATCTTTATATTAACAGTGATATTAGAGTTGTTTACAGTTATTATTATTATTATTATTATTATTATTATTATTATTATTATTATTATTATTATTATTATCCTTAGGGAAACGTAAAAGAGTTCAGCTACTACTAATAATATATGTCATATATAGACCCTTTTGCAAATAAATGAACGTTGTAGTCGAATACGGATGATTGGTTCATTGGCAAGGATTTAAATATGCTCCAAATAATTAACCAAAAATACCGCATTGTACAGCACTCACCTTAATAATAGTTTCGCCTTCCATATTTTTACAAGTGAAGAAAAACGCGACTGGCAGCATAGCCATCGATACTCCGAAGAGAATCCAGCCGAACACTGCTCAAAAAATGTTAGTATTTATTACTGGTGAAATAACAATATCGAAAATTCATGGTTTAATTAGCCGATAAGATTTATAGAGATGATTTGAGTAGGAAGTATAGCTTGATTGAACTGCGTTCTCTTATCGTGGACTATTGCAACAAATTAACAGTGAAATTTTGATATTCCTGCAATTGAAAGTGCAATAAAGATATTCAAGAGTTTTTAAATATTTATTAGAATCAGTTATTCCCGATTCGTGACTTGAAATAACGTAAAAATGTTGAACGAGCTAGTTAATATTTGCTATAGTACAGTCATTGGTTTTANATCTAGATGTGTATAAGAGACACATTTATTACTTTCAAACAGATAAACGTTACTTCGTAGTTGCACTTTCAACACGTCATTTATCACTCACCGCGACCAATGAGCGGAAAAGCCAGTCCGCCATTGTAAGTAACCACTTTAAAGTCCAGCAGAAAATATATGAAAAGAGCGATGAGTGCCACGGGCACGAAAAACTGAAGACAGAACCGCCAATAGAAGCCCAGCTTGATGTTGATCATGAATTGTACGTCTCTGCGATATCTGGCGTACGCTGAAAATTAAATGAAATTAAGTTAGTTCCCGCTGACAGAGGTGAGCAGTAGCGCGCTACATGTAGCGGTAGCGGTAGCAGCGCTACATTTAAGCAATTGTAGCGGTAGCGGTAGCGACCGCTACATTTAGAGCATGTAGCGGTAGCGGTAGCGCCCGCTACATTTAGAGCATGTAGCGGTAGCGGCCGCTACATTTCAAAGCAGCGTTGCCCAGCTCTGTCCGTTGAATGGATAATACAATGCCTGACCATGTTAGGAATCATAAATAACATTTTAATTTGCCTTTGTTGCTGCACCTGGGATAAAGTGCAAATAGGATTGGATGATGATATGACTTAAACGACCGTGTTGTCGGATTAAGGTTCTGAATGTTGCTCATTGACATTTTGACCAAACAACGGACATTTTTGTTTTAATCTAAGATTAGGAAATTAGTGAAGAAAATAAGAACATAAAATATTAGTAATTCGTACTACGTATTAACGGTAATAGTAATGCATTCGGTGCTAGTATATACAGAAATATTAAATTTTCTTAAAAATTTAAATAGAAATATATACGGGTGTACTAATATATACGGCAATATAGTATTATGTAAGGGAATTGTAATATGAACCAGACTTTGGTTGTACATCTGATGGTTTGGCCGTCAACTTGCCATGGAAGTAATGTTCGGTCGACAAATTTTATGAACGGGACTGAATGACAACGAATCTAGTACAATTTATTTTCAGTATCCATTGCTATCAGAGGCTGAAATCTTCTTTATTTGAAAATGAATTAGAAAGTCTCAATCCTATCACTTTTTGCATTAAAATAATCCCCGTTTTTTCGGAGATGGACAAACGCTGAAATTAAAATCCGCAAATCCGAAAATTCACAAATCTCGCAAAAAATTCACGACAATTTCAAAATAATTTGGTAATTTATATATCAAAACTAATACGTTCCCATTAGATTCATGAACAATTTCGCGATATAAATAGACCGACTGTAAATCCACATGAGGCATGCGCATTCAATGGTAGCCAGAATGTAGATGATGAATCCACCACCGAAGAAGTCAACGAGATCCAACACCCACTGTCCACCCTGGAAAACATTTCATTTTACATTAGATAAAACAAGATAACAGAAGAAATATCCTTAGATATTCCTCAAGATAAGAACTAATTTCAAACTTGCTGTTTAGAAATATTTGAATATTGAATAATCTCCACTTTATTCACTGGAAAATTTTTCGTTTAATCTTTGTACTTCAGAAATCATGAGTTTTTGTTTAACATGAACATGGAACCAGAGCATATTGCATACGAGGCGAATGATACTACTATATGGAAGACTTATCGGTAGATCAGAATATATTGCATTAGATCAGCTGACCGGTGTAATGAAAACTAGTGCGATGAAGAAGAATATGATGCACATGGCGACGGTGATCCATTCTGGTTTTATTTTATTTTTAAAAATTGGCACGAGTTTATCTTGGACGACACTGATGCCCGCGCTGGCAAGCCCCATGGCTGAACCGATGCCCAGAGTGAGCAGCACCAGGAAGAAGATCACTGCAAAAAGCTGACGAAGATGGAACAGAGAATACAAAATTATATTGAGAAGTGGTGAGTGATAAGCATGTAAAAGTTTTTGATGATGTGACTGGTGTGGGAGGGAAAGTTTGATAATGCAATAATATGATGCGATAATTTAATGATTAAGTAGAAAATATTCATTAGGTATAGCTACGCATCATCAAGGGGCCATAGATTCCTGATCGCCGGTGGGTACACATTACGTAAACATTCTATACGCGAGATTTATTAGAAATAATTGTCAGTAGGCACAAATAAAATTGTTTCTTAAAAGTTTCCATTCAGATGTATGTTGCAATGGATATTGACGATTAGAATTTTTTAGAACGAATTACTTTCTAACCTGCGGAACGGTCTCAAATGATGCTATGGCGGTAGGATAGGCGACGAAAACAAGCGACGTGCCACCGGTGACGATGTCGTCGAAATTCTTAGTGTTGGTGACGTACTGAAGATATCCTAGAATACTGAAGATGGTGAAGCCTGCCAGCAGCGAGGTGATTGTGTCCATGAGGCTGATGATCAGCGAGTCTCTGTTGTGTGAGAGATGGTGAATAAGTTCTTGTGAAAAATAATAAATTGAAGGTTTTTTTTCAGACGTACGAGCAGAGAGTCACAGTAGAGTGAAGGTTGGCAAGTGAAAGTTGACAAATTATGAGCAATGAAACGACAAAGAGTTTAAGATGTTTTCCAGACTGATGATTAGCGAGTGTCTATTGAGAGATGCGAGTTGAATAAATAGTAGCGAAAAGATAAAGAATGTATAGGTGTTGTTCCGGCTAATGCTTAGCGAATCACTGCACGGAAGAGGTTAGTGTAGACATACTGGCATAAGTTTAAGATTTTCATCATAATAATAATAATAATAGCGGTTTCAGCGTTTATTAGGCCGTAGGCCTGTCGCCGATTCTTAACATCGCAGAACATTCAAAGCTTGTGAATGTTCTGCCTAAAGGTCTAAATGTCTAGCGTTGCATGTCGTTAAATTTTGATTTTTGAACTTATTTACTAAATTTTACGATGACCAGTGTATATTATTTTAGTCAAGATGGTAGGAATAACAGAGTTAAGAACTTGGCTGGCTTATAACCTGTAGATATTGTGTCTGAAGTCGTTGTGACTGGAGTACATGATGACGGGACCAAAGCCAACAGACAGACTGAAGAACGACTGAGTGACTGCGTTGTACCAGACCTGTAGGTATAGCAAAAGAAACATCACAGGGAAGAAGGATCGAATTTAGCATGCTTAAGTGTGCTTATTTCAGTATAAAAAATTAATTCAACAAAACCTTTGCCGTAGTAAATAATTTTTCGTTTATTTTACTTGTATTGAATTATTGACTAAGTCAAATAAATTGTACGCAAAAAATAGCTTAAAAACAGACATCATAAGCGGATTTCGAGCACCACAAAATATCCTGGAAAATGAAGTAGCATGATCAGCTAGCAAACAATTTTTGCNAGAGTTAATATTGAAACTCTATATAAAATTCACTCTTATAAAATACATTAACTGATTTTAAATTAATTAAATTAAAACTGCGATCACGAACTTTCGAGTTATCATCGAAATCGATCGTGATGGAGAATGAAGATGACGGTGAAAAAAAATTCAAATAAAATATAACATTTTAAAATTAATATTGCGTTGCGAAACCCCTGCAGGTAATAAATGAGTCACTCGTAATTATGATTTTATATTAAACTGAAATATACCTTGGCTTCAATGATTTTCTCCCACCGCGGAGTGATGAACTGGTTGATTGTAGGTATAATATTTGCCACATTGTTATAATATAATAATTAAAAAAAAATGAAATAAAATTGCACAGTTTAATCTACATTGCAGAAGAAAACACGATCCAAAAAATGTACAACACATGTAACCTTATTTATATTGAATTTTGAATTAATACATGGGGTCAACATATTGAAGCAGCGTGGTTGAACTACATTGTAAAATTTTCTAATATTTTAGAAAAAATATTTTACACAGCATGGGAGATAATATACGTGAAAATTCATGCATTAAACAAACAGCTTAACGTACGAAATGAAATTATTAACAACGTATAACGTAGTTTGGGTGAACATACCACAATCATCGACGCTTACCATTTTTACATATACTACACCGTCACTAGTTTGCTGCGTATGGAAATAAGATATTCAATCAATATCTTTAAAATATTGTAAAATGCTGCTAACTATTAAAATATTATTGAAATTCACAAAATTTTTATGAACCACAAAAACAAATCTATAACAAAACATAACTGAACTAAACTAGAATTTTGTTGCCATATACAATCTGAATTACAATATTACGATGACATTGCCAGTAATGTTGCTTGAATTCGAAATTATTATACGGTAAGGAAATGTGCATTGTATGTATGCCGTGTGGGGGGGCATTTTATGCGTAACCGGATTGTAGCAACATTATCAAAATTCTGTTACAACACAGAATTCTTGCGGGTTAAGAATATTTAGATTTGACATGGTAATAGTACATGTGCTTGCATTAACTTTGTATTATGTTGAGAAATGTCATGATATTGAGATTTCGTTAGAAATTCATAACTCAATGATCGCACTTTTGCAAAAAAGTCTTTTGGGCGCATATCTAGCTTATGTAAAAATATTAAATAGATCCATTTATCGTCTGTTTTTTATTTATGCACACATTTTTTGACAAATTAATAAAGGATTTAAGATCTGTCGAGTTTTTTTTAAGGAAATGGTCGTTAAAATACTACCTCGATGGTTTCGAGTGTCCTCTTGCTCCGCGATTATTCGGTTTGATATATTGGTATTATATATTATATAAGTAGGTATAATATTTGCCACTTTGTTATAACATATTAATTTCCGCAAAAAATGAAATAAAATTGCAAAGTTATTTGCACTGCAGAAGAAACCACGATCCAAAAATGTACAACATATGTAGCCTTATTTTTATAGAATTTTGAATTAATACATGGGGTCAACATATTGAAGCAGCGTGGTTGAACTACATTGTAAAATTTTCTAATATTTTAGAAAAAGTCTTCTGGGCGCGTATCTAGCTTATGTAAAAATGTTAAAAAGATCCATTTACCGTCTGATTTTTATTTATGCACACATTTTTCGACAAATTAATGGAGGATTTAAGATCTGTCGAGTTTTTTTTAAGGAAATGGTCGTTAAAATACTACCTCGATGGTTTCGAGTGTCCTCTTGCTCCGCGATTATTCGGTGCGTTCAATTATTTTATTAAATAATTCACGGAACGACGGAAATCAACAAATACTTTCTCTGATATTAGATACAACAATTAATTGCATTAATTTTGAAGTGGTATAACTCACTTTTCCCGAAGATTTGACCCCCCGGTACAAGCAACCTCCGATGATAAGCCAGGCTGCGATAAGGCAGATGGCGAGTCTCCAGTCCGGTACTCCGGGACCGTTGTCTAGGTTCGCTGGCTGCTGCAAGAGGTAGTCCCTGCAAATTAAAAAAAATAATAATAATAGAGGTTCTGTGCAGAATCTACTTCAATTATGCTGTGCTAAACCGCTCGGCCTCCTCGCCGATTCTGACCAGAACCAACGCACAGAGCTGGGATCGAACCCGCACCTCTCTGCTCCTGTCTTGGTACTCTGAACTGTAACCACTGGGCCACCCTGTCCACCTTGTAACTAACTTGAGCGAGCAACATGGAAATTGGAATAGCATTCAACTATATAACTAATTTTACTGAATTATGAATTTCACGTCAAAGATTGCCATTCAATATGGAAAAAGAGAATGTCTTTGGGAGAAAACTAAATATGGGAACAGAGAACATAATTAACCTAAGCAACTTATGAAAACCCATTTCTAGAGCTGTGATGATCGCCAGGCATCAGATGTGACTGCGGCCTTTTACGCTAAGAAATGTTCCCGGACCCCATCGGATTAATGTGTTTAGTTGTCACTTAAAAAGTCTTCCCTATAAGAACGGCAGTCATTTTCTGATAGCCCATTTTCAGCGCATTTTCTCATTTACAGAAAAAATGCGCTATTTCGCTCGTCATGTCCGTCCGTCTGTCTGTCCGTGACCACGTTTTCGTCGATGAGAAAATGCGCTCTCTGTCACACGCTGCAGTGAGTACTGAGTTATATTTTTTGTTTAAACTTTACAGTAACGTTGAATAATTTCTTAAACTTATTTCCCTCGCCTGAAATATTGAAGAGCAGAAATCTCTTTAGACGAGTTACCCCCGCCCCCGACTGCAATCCCCGAGAGGTTTGCTGCGGCGTCGCCCGCGTTGACTTCAATGCAAGTGTCGTTGTTGGCCCAGGACTCATCACAAACAGCCCACGGTAATTGCGACTGGAAGGACATCACTAAATAGAAGATCGAGATGGCGATGATGGAACTGTAGTAGCAGACGACTGACGATGACGCGATGGCTTGTGCGTAGCCCACCCCTGCAATAAGTTTATATACGGAGCGTATTAATTCATTCATATATATACAGTATATAGCGGATTCAACTGTTTATTGTATATTTTGTTGTCGTTTTAACAGGGAAGTTAATTTTGAGTCTGCATTCTTAGGAACTCAATTTATCAATGTAATAGTAAGGATTTTATTGACAAATAAGTAAAATCAAGTAAAATCATCAAGTAAAAAGTACTTAATTCTTAAACTTAATTTATTCACCTAATATTGCATTCTTTACCTTTTAAAGCGGGTAAAACATTCCAGTATTTCACCATACTCTGTGACGTAAACTGGCCAAGGCTCAGCTCCAAGAAGTAGAGGGGCTGATGACATTCAAAATAAAAAATGAATACTAAATGTATTATAAAAATTATTTTCTCACGGTAGTGGAATAAATAATTCCTTATAAATAGATCCACTGAAATCAACCTTGAATGCTCATATGTGCAGTTGAACGGTTAATGTTATATGAGCAGTCCAGCTACATCGATTTAATTTCAATAGTAATGCTATACTTTGGCTTTAGTTTGGCTGAAAATAATATGTATTAATATAACTATTGCCTTCATATCTTATTTTAGTCATAACCATTTTCTAAGTGACCCCCCTTGGAAATGAGTGAGGGTTAAAAGCTTTTATCATCGGTGATTGTGAGGAATCGGACTTATTATTCATTGACTTATATAAAAGTTATTCTTACTCTTCCAATGAAGAAGAGCACGACAAGGTAGGGGATGAGGAAGGCTCCTCCCCCGTTCTGGTAAGCCGTAGTGGGGAACCGCCAGAAATTCCCCAGCCCCACCGACATGGAGATGCACGACAGCAGGAACTCGATGGGGTTCCCCCACTGATCTCTATGTTCCCCATCTTCCTCTGGTGGGGAAGTCTTCCCGTCAGCGTTCTGTTGTTTTGCAAATTTTGATTATTTTACTAGAATTATTCTAAAAATGAGCTTTTGTTCAATAATTCGTTGCTTGAATCTTTTAATTAATTTTTATGGAAACGAGAATCTCTTGAATTATTTTATTATTGTGAGGGATGATTCATTATCAAAGCCATCGGACGCTTGCAATCAGCACTATTGTAATCAGCACTAGCAGCCAACAAACCACTATTAATGCTATAAGAGCCTGAATTCACGATATTCAACAGAAATAATTGAGGGATTACAAAATTTTACCAAAACATATTACGCGCTCTTTAAAATAATTTTTAATCGTGGTTAAGACATTTATGCAATTCAGTAATAATTACTATTCTACAAGCATAAGAGTCTAATTAAAACCCTTTTTTTTAAATCCTTATTCAAATGACATTTATAGGAAAGCTGCAATGTCAACTTATGATACAACAACGCATATTTGTATTATTTTTAATTTTTTTAAACAGAATCACTGATTGCACCAATCTTGACTCTTCCGATACAAATGATTACAGGATTGTAGGCTATTGGTATAGATTTAACATACCTCCGCGTCTCTCCAGCTGTATGCGGAACTGGCGTCTGAAGGCCTTTGAGTTTCCTGAAGAAGCAGTGTTTAGTTAAAAAATCGTTTAGACGAGGTCTAACCTAATATAAACACAAGCTAAGTCAATAAATACACAACATTACATTACTGTGGAAGAACGTTGGCTGAAATATTCTGTCCAATTACCTACAAAGTTGAAATTATTCATAAATGAAATGAATTTTACGCCTTATTGGAAAAGTATTGATAAATCAAATTCGAAATCTTGCTGCGCTTCCCTCTTTTTTGATGAAGTACTGTATCACAATGTCGCGCAATTGGGGCATGTTTTATTGGGACTTTACATTTAATTTTAAGTTTTTAGGGCTACTACTTGGCCATCGTATAAATGTCCTTACTAAATGCTCGCTCCTATCAGGCTATATTGTGCTAAATTGTTCCAGTGCTGGGGCTGGATGCAAGGCTTAGATTTTGGGTATCTGAATTGCAGGATATTTTGGTATTATTTATGATTTGTTATGATATAATATTATGTATATTTAATTAACTTTAGGGGACATAATTTCAGTATCCATGCGTAGGTCCAGTATTCGGAAACCATGTGATACGACACCTTGCAATTCCAGTGCCGACAAACTATGTTAAGCTGAATGCATAACATTACGTTTCTAAATTCTTCGTATCAGTTCATAAAATAGTTTATTATTTTTTTATTATATGAACTGAAAAAAATTTCTAAAGATGACGAAATGCCGTTGACGCCAAGTACTTACTGTAAATTTGGATACTGCATTTCACCTTAATAAAATATTATTCAGTAAACAATACGCAAATTAAAATGCTAATACTGAGAGCGATACAAATACCAATTCCATCAAACACCTCAAATAATATTTAAATACGCAAAAAGTGCAATAATTAGGATTTGCTATTGCAAAGAATTGTATTATAACAAGCATGGTCCACAAAGTCGCGATAACTGAACGTCGCCGTGTACGTATATTTAATTTCAATAATATTTGAAAGTTAATCTTTTTTCTCTCTAAGAACTCTTTGAAAATAATGGAAGTGTCTATGCGTGCCGTACAAAAAAAATAAATAAGAATAAAGAATTTTTCCTAAATCTATTTTATACTTTACCTTCGTCTTGTCATTCGCCGCTGGCCCATACGAAGAGGACGTATGCTTCTTGCTCACATAACCGACAATCTATGGAGTTGAGTATGTCTTAAATATTTCAAATTTTCTTCAATAATTCAGTTTTTATTTTCTTTTGATAGGTAATTTTGCAAAACAATAAAGAAGAATCAGATATTCTGATAGTGGTGGAATAATATAATTCAAAGCAGTGCAAAAAGTTACACTAATCGCATTGCTCCTGCTTTGCCATTGATTTTTAACGTTTTACTCTCTTAGTCTCATTTAAAAATACAATGAATAGTGCATTATTATCTAATCCTTCTATATATTCATACCTCTTCATCCTTTTTGAATGCAGGGTTCTCGTAGGCGTAAATTGGCACCGCCTGACCGAGTAAGAAAATCCATCACGGTACATCATAAGTAAATCCTCATGAAGGGAATATAAATTTCGGTTATTGGAAAATAACATTAGAAACGTGATTATTTGTATATTAGCTCTCTATTATCTAAGCGGTTTCATGAACGTTGAGCTATTATTTATTTCAACTTCTGTGGTAAAATGATTAAGAAAAATCTAAAATTACAACTTTTTCCC